CGGCGCGCGGGGAGCCGCGGGGGGCGGGCAGGACACGACACGACACGACGCGACGTGACACGACACGACACGGGGGCGCCGCCGCCGCTGCCACCACCGGGACGCAGCCCGCCCGGCTGTTGTTGTTATTGTTGCTGCCCTCGCCATGTTCAACGTGGAGAGCCTGGAGCGGGCCGAGCTCGGCGAGAGCCTCCTCACCTGGGTGAGTGTGGCCGCCCCGCCGCCGCCGCGCGGCTCGGCCGGGGGTGGCGGGGAGCGGGCGCCGCCGCCCGCAGACCTCGCCGGCAGTGCCCGGGAAACGCGGCCCGCCCGGCCGCGGACAAAGGAGGCGGCGGCGCCGCGGCCTGCGGCGGGCGGCGCCCCGCAACGGCTGCCCAACCGCCGCCCAGCGGCCGTTTAACGGCCGCCCAACGGCGGCCCCTGCGCGTCGCCGCGCGCGGGGCCGGCGGATGCCGCGATGAGGGGGCGCCGGGGAGCGGATCCGCGCGCGTTTCCGCCTCTCGCTGCGGGCTCCGGGCTCGGGCGGCCGGCGCTGCCCTGCTCGTGAGCGGCGCTGAGGGCCCTCGCGCCCCGGCTCCCCGCGAGGGAAAGGGAAGTGTCCCTGCTGCTGGGCAGGGCGACGATGTGTGCCAGCCCTGGTGCGGAAGGGCCCCGCGGGAGCCTTGCTACGAAGGAGTGAAAGCAAAATAAGAAGCTTCGCTGGTGGTTGATGGAAAATGCCTTTCTTTACGCTTTAGCCTTTGCACGTACAAGCCGCAGCGTAGCGTGACTGCCAACAACCGTGCAAGGGGGCCCAGACGCCTTCCCGAGTCCCTGACGTTACAAATCACTGAGCAGATGGGCCCTGCTCTAGCAGTGCAGTCACCGGCGTGCGGACTGGCCTGTCTGAGGTGCGTGCAGTGCTGCAGGGTGACGGGTGACAGGTCGCACCTTTGGCTGTGCTGCGGGATCGACGTGCAAACGCGGATTTGCACGAGCACTCTGCTCAGCTGCAAGCTCGATGTTGTGGTCGATAACCCGAGGCTATTCACTAGAAATGCAACGTTTTGAACAGAGGACTGTGTCAAGTCTGAAAGTACTTGAGGACTGAAAATACTCTAATATTCACCTAAAAATAAGATGTTCGGATTTGATTTTGAAGTGGTAATATTTCAGGTTGCTTTTGAAAGTTGCGTAAGATCCAGCTGTTTGCTGGCTTCCCAAAACGCGTTTTCAAAGTGCAGAGTGAGAGTTAAAGACAGTGGTTCCTTTTGGGGAAGAGGGAGGCCTCTCTGTTGCGCAGACGCAGTGCAAACCAGTAGTCCGTATGTGTTGCAAAAGTCTCTCTCGAAAGATTTTGCGTATGCTCATATCCAGTGGAAGTTGAGGTCCTGGTCATGTAGAAAGCGAAATAAGAGTCAAGAGTTCTCGTTTGTGGAGGGGCTGAGGAGACAAAGTCTGTTCACTGTTAGTAAAAGTCTTGGTTGATGTCCTTGTGTTATAAAGGAAAATAGGCGAAGTAATTTTTTTTTTTCTTTTTCCTTTGCTATGCTTGAGACTTGAAGTAGTTTCTTTTTTGAGTGGCAAACTTTATTCACCTTTATTCACTTTCACCTTTGAAAGCAATTTGCACTTTCTGTACAAAGCCGAGCATTGAGAAAAGAGGAATGTTGGACAAAGAAATTTCCTGAGATTGTAGATGTAAAATGGACAAATATATATATATATAGCATTATGGCATTGTCTGTAGGAATTATATTTTCATTATATGGGCATATGATCATGACTAGGCATGACACATGATAGATATATATGATCATGTGTAAGGTATACACATTTCTTGATCCTGAGCCTTGTCCAGCTGGATTCTTGTCTCTTCTGCTGTAATCATTAATGAAGATTCCTTTACTTTTCCACATGCTTTTCTCCCTTGCATACCAAGACAATGAAGAAACTACTTTTCTTGTTAGCAGAAATATTAATAAGTATTTTAAAAATGGATTTAGAGTTGTAGAACACATATTTCTAAGCTGAGTGTTAGAAACAGAGCTTTGGATTATTTTAATGATTTGAATATTTTTGGATGAAGGTAACTTTGAAAATGGTTCATTAAAAATAAATAAATTAATAAAGAGGCTTGCGCCAAGATATGCAAATCTTGAAAAAGAGATCATGGATGTTTTTAGTCCCCAGTGAAACTTGCGGCATAAATAAGAGGCTTTTTTAATTGGATTTTTTTCTGAAGTGCCTTAATAATTCTTGGGAAACTGCTCATTTAGATGCAGAATAGAGCTGTTTTAATTATAATTTATGCACATGTTAAAAGGACAAGCTTTTTTCCTGTTACACTGGCAGTTCTTAAAAACTGGTTTAACCTCCCAGGTTCCTTGCCGAACATTTCACATGCATATGGAAGTGCTTGAACTGGTTTGACCATTTTGAGAGGAGTAGATAAGGCTTTCCTCAGGTCAGAGAACCTGTTCAGCCTACACCAGGTATCTGCTGTGACAGGAGGTGGGAGAGCTACAAGTGCCTCCTCCCTCTGCCTGTCTCTGATTTTGACTCATGAGAGTCTAGGTCAGGCCTCCTGCCTTGCCTGTCTGAGACGAGGTTTTGTTGGTCTGGAGCAAAGCGTTTACCTGTGGCTGTTTTGTTTTATTCCAATCCCCTCTCCTCTGGTCTCCCTGGTGTTATGGTCTAGCTCTTGTCTCCATTGTCTGCTTGGCTGATAGCATGGTCACATAGTTTTCTGAGTCATTCTTCCTCAGTATTTTAAATAGCTGGGAGAGCTTTTGCTTCCTGCCATTTCAGCAGATGACCGCAGCAAGAGAGTGAAACCGAGCAAAAGATGGAGCGCAGTTACTGGGCCTCAGAGTCATTTTTCTGACCGTGAGCAGTGTCTGCAGGGCTTCACCGCTGAACCTGTTCCCTAAAAGTGTCTCCTAGGACTGCTCTTGCAACAGCACTGTAGCTGTCCAAGCAGCATTTTGTGAAATGTGCCTCTGTAAAAAACCTGTATTGTTTCAGTGTAACTAACACAAGTTTGCAGCATTTCCTCTCGTCAAAACCTGTGACTGGTTCAGGATTGAACATTCAGATTCTGCATTGTATGTTGTGTCAGGAGTGCTTTTAACTGAGATGCACCTCTGAGCCCTCTCAGAGTCTGCTGTGCTTTCAAACACGCTCATGGAAGTTGCACTATAATATATCCGTATTGGAAATCAGTGTTATGGCTACAGACTTGTCAGCATGTAACCCGAGAAATTTTCTTTTGACGTAAAACTAAGATCTGATACTGCAGAGGTAGCTTAGCCTTGGCATTTAAATAGCAGGATTCCTCAAAGAGGTTGGCGCTGGCTGTTCCTAAGTAGCAGATTGCTGCGGATGTGTCCTTAACTCTCCCCTGCCCATGGTGGTAAGGAGCTCTTCTGCCATATGTTTCCTCCAAAAAGTTGCACCTTGTACCTGATTTCTCCCTGCCTCTACACTGCATGCCAAATATTGTTTCTGCAGGTGGGAATGGAAATACCTATTTTGCTGGTATTATTTTGTTGTTTGTTTTGTTTGTCTTTGCTGTATTAAAGTTTTCTTTTACATGGAAATAGTGTAGATACTGTTCAAGATCTGTGTTTTGGGTTCTTTCATTTTGAAAGCACATTTTACCATTTATTTGGTACTAGTCCCCTTTGAGATTTCTCTTGTTTGGCTGAAAACTTTCTTCAATAAAATAATATATCTGTCTTCTGTGTGGTGGACTTTCTGCAACTGGAAGTATTTGCATGTGTTCATTCTAAATGCAGTAACTGCTGAAATAGAGATTTTTTTTTTTTCATTCCTCAGGAAGGGTGTATTTGTAGGCTCCTTTACAGAGCAGGTCAAAGGTGATATAATTTACCAAAAAAAGCTTATTCTCCTTCTTTTTATACTAAGTTGTTTTTGTTTCCTGTGCATCTATACTTTTTAAGTATTTTTTTGTACAGATGTAAGGATTGCAGGAGACTAGCTAAGCATGTTCAAAGTCTCTCCTCTGTATCACCGACCACAGAGTTGTAGGGTTTCATTTTCTTCTGATGGTATCATAGCATCTACATCTCTTACCTGTTGAAGAAAACGTAAATGCTAAGGAGTGACTGTGCCGCTGATAATAGCAGGTGACAGAAATAGTTCTGCTTGGTATGTCTCTCTTTAGACGGGGAGAAAAAAAGAACTTGCAGGTATTAGTGAAAAAGATTCATGTGTCTGGCAGATCACAGTCCCTGCATCTGCTGTCACAGACCAATAAGTAGATTGAGCAACTTTTTTTTTTTTTTCTGTTGAACTATTGGTAAGGAGTCTGAAAGACTGGCACCCTGAGCAAGAAAATATATTTCAAATATTTAAGGCCGTGCAATGATTCAGTTTTTGAGTAACATCCTTTCTATGTTGACAAAATGATAAATTATTGGCAATCAAATGAACATCAAAAAAATAATAATATATGTGCTGTTGCAAGACATTTTTTATTTCACATCCCTTATTGGTCTATTGGAAGAACCTCTGGTATCCAGCACCGGTATTAGGTTATAGGCTTTTTTGTTCTGTTACTAAAGCAACAGAACAAGTTCAGAACAGTTCAAGCATGGGCAGAAGAACTTTGCTTGAAGACTCTGTAGTAAAACAAGTGATACGAAGCTAATATTAAGTGAAGATGATTGAATAGTATATGTTTTAAATGCATGTTATAAAGGAGGAAACAATAGAACATGTTGATAACTGTAAACATAGTTCTTCGTGTATTCATTTGACTTGTACATAGTCTTAGATTTAGCTTCACTGGGGCTTTGTCCATTTTTTTTTTTTTTAATGAATTCCTTCTTTCTGAAAAGTTGCCTTTAGAGTGGTGCTATGGTTCTGAAAATCACTTTGAAGAAAAACCCTGTGATTGAGTATGTGCTTAATTTCAGCTCAAAGTGGTACTCCCTCACTTATTTCATAGGCTGTGAGACACTGCTCACAGAAGAAACCAATTTTCTGCTGAGAACTGTGAGCTCTGAACAGTGCAGAGGAAAAGACTTTCCTGCTAAGTTATCTCAAGTTGAGAAGAGGAACCTTCTTCCACTGCCTTTTGGAAAAGATCGGAGGATGAACTGAAATTGTGAATTTCACTTGATTATCTTTTTTGTTTTTATTATGCTCGTCTTTTGAAGCTATTGAACTAGAAGATAATATTCTCACACTCTGTTC